TCCCCTGCAGTCCTGGTTATAACTTACATTGTCAATGTGGGAGCATTTATGAGTATCCGAATGTGTGTATTTATGTGCAAGAGAAATGAAGAAAGACAAGAAGACACCAAGACATGATGACCTTTTAATAAGTAGGTAGGATAGCTACTGAAACAATACAAGTGTATTTGATGTCTCCTATTTTCATCCACATTCTATTTATTGATACATCTTCTATTCATTTTCCCTCATCTGTCCTGCTCTCAAAATGCTCTCCAAAAGTGCTTCTGCCCTCCTTCTGCCTATCCCAGAATCTTTCATTATGCCCACTCATTGAGATATGTTTAGCTACCTAGAATGATAATTTCTTCAAACCAAAATTGTTCACATTACTTATTATACGAACATTATAATATAACACCATTTAATGGAAAAAAATCTTTAAGCATGGGCCAACCAATCTGGGTACTCATCTCTACTCCATCACTTCATGGCCCTGGAGCCCTAGACAACTAACCTAAGCTCTGTTTCCTCAGCTATAAATAGGCAGAATAATATTTGCCTTACCTAACTCAAACAATCAACTAATAGAAGGATCTTTCAATTTTTTATAAACAGACAAGCATAGAGTAGTAATTGCCAAAGGTAGATGGTCAGCTGTGAGACCTAAATGTATGAGGCCCATTCAATAAAGCAGTGCAAAGACTATATAATGGGAAAACCTAGAATCGTGAAAACAAAGCAACTTCAAACTTGTATAACCACTTAACACAATTAAAATATTCAGCTCAAGTAAGAATAAAGGGGAGCCACAGCCTTTGAGCCCATTCTACCTTCAGACCCCAGGCTATAGCTAAAAGCAGCCCAGTTGCCTGCCAGCTGGTGAGTACGAGAGCATTCCTTTCTGGTAAAGAGTCCTATTCTAGAAGTTTGGGAATGAACGAGGAAAGAGTTACTTTGGTAACCGCATTTGAACTGTGGTGGTGGGTGGAGATTAGCACAGCAACTGTACAGTAAAGGGTTCCTCCTTTGAGTCTAGCAATACCCATGCAAGTCAGGGTACCTGCAGATTCTATCGTCTGTGCCAGACTGAAGGCAAAGCAACTGTCTGCTTTTCAGACTACTGAAATTTAATACACTACATATATACTATATCAAATACACATATAAATACACACTAAGCTGCTAAATCCCTAGAGGGAAAGGAGCTAATATATATTGAGCTCTATGTGTCAGAAACCATAAGAAAACAGAGATTTCATTTAATACCCACAAACATCCTGCAGTGTAGAGATTATTATTCCTGTTTTTATAGGTGAGAACACTGAAGCTCAGATAGATTAAATAACCTGCCCAAGGTCACAAAGCTAGTAAGTAGCAGAGTCAAGGCTTGAACTTTTAGTTTTGCCTAACTCCAAAGCCCATACTGCTTAGGATTTTTCTTCTCAACTACGGCAACCTTGTTGGGTCTTAATTTCACTGTAATTCCTAACATAGCCCTTAAGTACATGTCCTGGTTGTTTGCATCTCTATAGCTTCACAAATGGACAATATTTTCCAGAAGACATTTTCTTTGTCTTTTCTTTTCCTGCATTTATTTCCTATTCCTGCACAAACTATTGTCTTTTAGGCTGAACCACTAGGCTAGATAGACCTAATAGTCTGACATACAACATTTCAGCAATTAATGTACCTGGAGGGTTAATCACCTATTTCCTTCCTTTAAACACCTTAACAGCCATAGTTTTTTGGCATGATATCATTTTCTAAGCTGGTTCTTACCATTTAAAGAGTGTTAGTATGTAGCACAATGCCTCACACATAGCAGGCGCAGAAGGAGAATATCTATTGATTCATAGATTAAGAAAAGGTTTCTTTATTCATCTAATTAACTTGCTATATTGAAATCAAGAGACTTCACAGGAATCCAGTTCTAAGAATGAATTCTTCACATTAATTTTTTGGAAATTTTAAAAATTATTCAGAAAAAAAGGTAAATTGAAATATAACAACCTAGTATTTGAACCCCTAAGTGACTAACTAGTGGACTATGAACTTAAGAGTTTTAAAGGCTCAGTTTAAAAATATTGTTATTCTGAATAACTTCTGCAAGTGCTTCATACCCTCTGCAGAGCAAAAAAAAAAGAACTGAAAATATACAATAAAACACAATTGTGCTACTTCAGATGGTAAGATTAAGGATGGCTTTTTTCTTTTTTACATATATTAAAATTTTTCTGCAACAAGTATGTGCTATTTTTATATTAAGGAAAGTGATCTCACTCTAAATAAACTATACTTTTAATATTTTCTGTACAGTGTGCATTTATTGTCTCAGATAATAATCGATAGGAATTAAGTATTCATTAATTCATGCATGTGCCTCCAGAACAACTTGTTATGTAACATCAGCACACTGAAGATAATTATTTCTCTTTCCATTCATGGAATGCCTTTCTTGTTTTAGGTGGGTATGTTTCTATCTTTGTACAGGTTTCTTGTACAATCTCTACAGAACACTGATCGTCGATCTTTTCTTGGTAACAAGCACAAGAATGACATTTGCCCCTGATATGGCCCCAATTTATATGTCTTTAAATTTTATGTATGCTACCTTTTCAATAACATGTAAGTATTCTAATCACATGAAACCCAAGTGGGATGAGCTACTTTATGTGGTACTAAGTTCCCTACCAATGGAAATGTTCAAGCAGAGATCTCTTATAAGGGGATTCCTGTGTTGGATGAACCCCCTTCCTATTTTAGGATTTTAGAATTAATTTTTTAACAAGTCTGCTTTAGTGATACAATGGATTCCATACTGGTCTCGGTGGTGTCAAGCCCTTTTCCCAGCTCACTATTAAAATCAACCCAGCAAAGATGCCCTTCTGTTCCAGCTTAACCTAGCAAACTATCTGATTACTTCTTGTGGGGACCAAATTCCCATAATATTAACAGATTCTTGCTATTTGAAATTACCAAAATGTGCTGAAATAATGCAGTCAGCAAAATGTCACTGTATGACTTACATATGGATCTGTTGCAGCCTGTAAAAACACTGTCTTCATGAAGGACAGCCAAAATGAAAAGTTACGTGGGAGAAATAAAATATGATAACTAGGCCTTCAACCTCAAATATACACCCAGCTGCACATGTGCACACACATCCACAGGAAAGCCTGCTGATAATAAAAGCAAAAAAAACCCAAATCATGTCCAGCGTGTGTGCACTTCACTACAGGGCTGGTCAGGGAACTGTCCTTTCAGCACCACAGCAAGAAACCCTGCTACAAGTTTAAACACAGGCAATCAAAGCTGGGCAGTCAGAAAAAATTTTAAACTCCTACAAAGAATGGAAGAAGCACCTGTATGGGTGTTTATTTTTAAGGATATATTCCACTTCATAATCCTTTATAACTTAAAGTAAAATCCTTCAAATATTTTGATGAAAGTTGATAAAATACAAATGAAAAGCAAGGCCTCTCAAACGGAAACCAAGAAATTAATAACTGGCCTGCACTATCAACAATTGCTTCACAATACCCACCATCAGCCCTGTTAAGAAACACATTTACACATACCCTGAGTCAGATGTTCAGAGAACATGAAACATGTTTGGAACCCTCTCCCCGGAGAGCCTTAATTTCTAGGACAGAGAATGCTGAATGAATATAAAACCATCACTACAATCCCCCTATTCCAAGCAATCAAAATCTCTTTCAGGGAGAATTGAAGGCCCTGTGGGTCATGCTTCCAAAGAAAAAAACACTGCAGTATTTCAAGAACCAGGTTACAGGCAATGTGCTACAAAGCTTTCAGCGTTTTAAGTCCGATTCCCCTGAGATTCCTACCAGAATGGTACTGGGTAGTATTGTTATCCAGCCATTTGCATTACACATCAAAAAAAATTTTTTTAAGGGAAGAAAAGTCCCCCCACCCCCTATATGTTCTAATGCACGTGGAGAAAAGATTAGTACAGAGAGATTGTGAAACAGTGAAAACCTACCGCACCCGAAATCTCCCTTGGAAAGCTAAACCATCCCCTAGCCGTAGCACACTGCTGCCTCTCTAAAGGCTCTCCAGGTTCCAACTAGAGAAGACAGTTATGAAAAGCATTCTTCCCCTTTGCCCCCAAAGCCCTCATCCATACTTCCTGCTTCCATCCCTGTTTCTCTGGTGCCCACTGTGCATTAAAAGCAGTTTTCCCTGTGTGGTAGAGCTTGCTCCATACTAATTATTTCTCCCTCCCCATAAATTCGCCAGATAACAATGCAAAGTTTCTTCTATCCACCCCCGAACAGATGACATCCTTTTATTATAAATACTGATGGCGAATTTTGGAATCTCTGGATATAAAATGTATTCCATGTTTCAGAAACTGCAGTGTAAGTGAAGAAGAGGGCACAGGGTGGAGTAGTTGGAAGGAATGCGTGGTGTGAAGAATCAGTCCGAAAAATGATTCCCCACTCCACCCCACCTCGAGGCCGAGGGCCCTGCAAGGGTCTGGATGCCCTGGCCAACCCCCGGAAAGTTAACTGCAAGTCTCCACTGGTGGTTGCTCTTGGCACGCAGGGGATGGAGCCGGGTTTTCAGGGAAAATGCAGAGGTTCTGCGGTCCCTTAAGTACCGAGAGAGAACTAGAGACGAGGGGTCCGAGCCTGCGGGCAGGGCAATCTTGTAAGCCCAGTGCTAACAAGAAGCCCAGAGCGCTGTGCCGGCGTAAGGTGGGGGAGGGAAGGGAGAGAGGAAAGAGGTACAACTCCGCATCGGGTGGCGTAGGGGTTGGGGTGGGGGGAGGGGATATTCTGAAAGTGATGTTCTCCCTAATGTGGAAATCCTACCCGGCCGAGGTAGGTCCCGGGGGCTCCCAACACAGCCCCAGAGCACCCTGTCGGGAGGGCGACAGACGCATCGGAGTAAAGGGCAGAGAGCGTCCTGGCTGCCCTGAAAACCAAGGAGCACCTGGCTTATACAGTTGGTGACAATCTGGAACCGGATGGGGGAGAAGGGTGCAGTAAGACATGGGGGAGGAGGCAGACCGAAGGGGCTGCTACTGTCGGAAGATCCCGACAGCGCTGCCCTTCCCAGGGCAACCCGGTGAGGGCCTCCGGCTGCCCCGGCCCTGGGAGATGGGGGAGGGGGTGGCTGCACCACGGAAGGGGCGCCCAGGGCAGGTGAGTGTCCCCACTGCAGCCAAGAGACCAGGAAGGATGTATGGGGGAGTGGGGGCCGGTGGTCCTCAGTTCTCCTCAGGGGCCCCCAGTAAACACGGCAGAAGGAAGCAAGACTTTCAAACACCTGTCCAAAGCAGGGAGGGCAGAAATCCAGCCCCACGGTCCCTCGAGCCCCGCCGCGCACTCTGCGGCAAAGCCCCTGGCTGGAGACGGGCGAGCCCAGCTCCAGGGTCCCGACGCGAGAAGGGGATCCCGGCGGGCGAGAAGCAGCGCCAGGGCGGGGGCTCTGGGGCGACTTACGGCAGAGACGGCGAGGGAGGCAGCGGCGGCCCTAGCGCGGGGCCCGGGAGGCGCGGCCGGACTGCAGAGGCGCCGAGGCTGCGGCGGGCGGGACTGCGGTGGGCGCCATCTTGGAGCGCTCCCCGCGCCCGCCCCCCGCGCCGCTCGAGTCCTTGCATAATTGATGACTCGCGCCCGCCGCGCGCCACCGCGCGCGTGTCCCCGCCGCCGGGCCCCCCGCCCGCCCTGCCCCCGCGCCGACCCCCGGCGCGCGCCCCCCGCCCGCGCCCGGCCCCCGCCAGCCCGCGGCCCGCGGCCCACCTACCCCTGCAGGGCGCGCCTGTTCGCCCTCAGCGAGCCGCCCGCCCGCCCGCTAGCCCGCTCGCTGGTTCTCAGGCCGGTCCCCGCGCCGCCCGGACCGGATCCGGGGCGAGGGAGCAGGGCGCCGGCAGGGGGCGCCGCGCTGGAGCGCCTCGCGAGCGTCCCGGGGCCCGCCTCCCCGACGCCCCCGCGGAGCCGCGCGGGAGGGGCACCCGGGCCGAGCGCTGGGACACGGCCGCGAGATGCCGGCCGGCCGCCCCCCCGGCATCTGGCCAGTGAAGCCTGAAAGCCGCTGTGTAGACTCGAGGGCCCCGTGACCCTTCTAAATGCCAAGCCTTACCTTTCTCTTGCACCGCAGTCTCAGAAGGAAATGCCCAGTGTATTGCAATGCTCATTTGCTGGAGTTTCAGACATATATAAACACGATGAACTCAATTTACATGAATTTAGCCCACTGAAAGAAAACTGCAGAAATCTATCAACAGCAGTTGGAGCCTATGATTCGGCGGACAGGGCCCTGGTAATGAGGAGTAGGGAGACACTGCTCCCACGACAGCTCCCAGGGCTGACACTGTAAAGTTCACTTTAGTTTTTTGAACCTCAGTTAGTGCGTCTGTAAAGTTAGGCACGAGCATTTGAACTGCTTACTCTACCCTTTCTTAAAAGGATCTAGATAATAAATGTGAGATTTCTTAGCACTTTATTGTGCTTCTCTTCCACATATTTCTCTCTATCCCAAGTTCATGGTTTAGAGTGAAAGTATGGTGAGGCTGCCATTTACAAACTGGGTAGCGTTGAATGTGAACAACCTGTCTAAACCTTGGTGTTCTTATCTGTAAAGGGAATAAGCATAGTACAAGCCTGATAGGTTTGTTGTGAGGATTAAAGAGAATGCAATTCACACATTTACAACACAATCTGGCACACAGTATGCCTATCACATAGTGGGCCCACTACATGTATTTTTAAATAGCTTTACTGAGGTACATTTGATGGAAGACAAACTACGCATGCTAGAGTGAACAGTTTTGTTGTATGTATTCCTGCATGTAACGATTGCCACCATCAAGGTAAAGAACACACCCATCACCTCTGAAAGCTTCCCTGCGCCTCTTTGTAATCCTTTTCCATGCATCACTCTCCCACACTCACTCCCTCTCCTGGCAACCACTAATCTTCTTTCTATTATTGTACATTAGTTTGCATTTTGCAGAATTTTAAATAAATGGAACCATACAGTATGGTTTGTTTGTTTGTTTGTTTTGGTATGGCTTCTTCCTCTCAATAATTATTTTGACATTATTCTGTTGTTGATTATTCAGTTACTTATCAATAGTTCATCTATTTTTATTGCCAAGTATTTATTTTAGAGATATACCACAATTTGTTTATCCACTTACCTCTTGATGACATTTATGGTATTTCCAGTTTGGGCCTATTTCAAATGAAGTGATTATGAGTATATGTGTGCAAGTTTTTGTATGGACATATGCTTTCCTTTCTCTTGGGTATAAGTATCTACGAATGGAGTGAGTCCTCCTCCTATAGGTGTATATTTAACATATTAAGGGCCAAATTGCTTTCCGGAGTGGTTGTACCATATTACATTCCTATTATCAGTGTATGAGAATTTCAGTTGTTGCACATCCTTAACAACATTAGGTATGGTCAGTTTTTTTCATTTTAGCCATTCTAACAGATAAGTAGTGTTATCTTATTGTGGTTTTGATTGGCATTCCCTAATAACTAACGATATTGAGCATCTTTTCATGGGCTTATTTGTCATCAGCAAATTCTCTTAGGTGAAGTGTCTGCTCAAGTCTTTTATTCTTTAAGTTGGGTTGTATTCTTATTACTGAGTTTTGAGAGGTATTTATATATTTTGCATACAAATCTTTTATCAGATACATGATTTGTAAATATTGGCTCCCAGTCTGGGCATCCTCTTTATTCTCTTAACAGTGTCTTTCAAAGAGCAGAAATTTCTTATTGTTACGAAGTCTGATTCATTATTTTCTCTTCTTCTATGGATCATGCTTTTGGAGTCATATCTAAGTTCTTTTTTTTCTTTAACATGGATATCTAGTTGTTCCTGCACTGACACCTTTTGTGCCTTTGTTAAAAATAAATTAATCAGGTATGTTAAGGGTCTGTTTCAGGACTATTTTGTTTCACTGACCTATTTATTGTCTGTCATGATTGGTCTAGCTTTATAATAAATCTTGAAGTCAGGCAGAGTAATCCCTACAATTTTGCCTTTTCTTCTTTTAATATTGATTTTGCTATTTTAGACCCTTTGCATTTACATATGAATTTTAGAATTAGCTTCTCAAATTCTGCAAAAAAGCCCCCTGAGATTTTGATCAAGATTGCACTGAATCTATAAGTCAATTTGGGGAGAACAGACATGCTAATAACACCACACAGTATATCACCCAATTTATTTAAGTTCTTTTTAATTTCTTGACTATATTTTAGTTTTCAGGATACAGGTCTTGCTCACCTTTCTGGAATTTATTTCTAAATAATTCATATTTTTTATGTTATTGAATACTATTTTTATATTTCAATTCCTGATTGCTCTGGTAGTATACAGAAGTACAACTAGTGTTTGTATATTGATTTTATGTGCTACAACTTTGCTAAATTATTAGCTCTTGTAAGTTTTTTTGTAGATTCCACCAGATTTTCTACAAAGACTATCATGTCGTCTGCAAATAAACAGTTTTATTTCTTCCTTTCCAATCTGAATGCCTTTTATTCCTTTTTCTTACTGTATTACACTAGCTAGGACCTCTAGTACAATGTTGAACAGAAACGGTAAGAGCGAACATCTTTGCTTTGTTCCTCATCATTGGGGGAAGACATTCAATCTTTCATAATTAAGTATAATTTTAACTGTAGTTTGTTTCTAGATACTCTATCATGTTGAGGAAGGTCTCTTCTATTCATTCTTTCCTGAGAGTTTTTATAAAGAATGGATGTTGAATTTTGTCAATCCTTTTTCTGCATGTTTTCTTTTTTAGTCTGTTAATATGGTAAATTACATCTATTGATTTTCAAATGTTCAACCAACCTAGGATAATGTGTTGATCATGGCATATGACCCTTTTTGTGTACTGCTGGATTTGATTTACTAACATTTTGTTAAGAATCACTGCATCTATGTTCATGAGGTGTATTGGTCTATAATTTTCTGTAAGTGCCAGTTAGGTTGAGTCGATTGATGATGATGTTCAAATATTCTGTATCTTTACTGATTTTCTTTCTACTCATCTATCATTTATTGAGAGGGATGTTAAAGTCTCTGACTATAATTGTAGATTAGTCTGTTTCTTCTTGCAATTCTATCAATGTTAGCTTCATATATTTTGAGGTTCTGTTATTAAGTACTTTAATGTTTGGGATTGTTATGTCCTCTTGGTGAATTGACTTTTTTACTATTGTGGAATGACCTTCTTTATCTCTGGTAATATTCTTTTTTCTCTGAAATTTACTTTGTCAAACAAAATACTGGCATGGTATTTCTTTTTACATTCTTTTAATTTTAACCTGTTTATTTTTTTTTCTGTCTCCATGAATCTTAAATTTATTTATTTATAGAACTTAATATAAATAGCACTGTGGAGCGATATCTCTTTTTGGAATTTATCAAACTGTGGAATTCTGCTCCATGGTGGGCATACGTATAAGGGCAGAGACCGTGTGAGGAAATCCTTCCACTTAGAACACATATTCTGAGGATATTAGGCAGATGATCATTGCAGGTAGTGACTCAGCATCTGGGGTAGGAGACTATATCATCTGTGCTCTTGATGCTCAAACCCAGATCTGGCCAATGACCCTTCTTTTTCCAAGGATGTTTTTTGGGGATTAGTGGAGCAACAAGCCCTCAGTCTGAAGTATGAGAGATGGAAAGAGGAAGCTTCTTAGCCTCCACAAGGTGCTCCTGTTCAGTATCTTGAGTAGTATGTTGATTAGGAGATCTGGATTTATGAAGCTTATGTGGAAAAACAAGTAGCCCAGCAGTGTGATGAAAAATAGGGTGATGAAAAAGAGAAATTGAAAAATCCTTTTACAGAGCCATATTCCCTTGTTTTGGAGAGAATTGTCCTTATTATTTTGGCTGTTATATTCTTTTCTTCCAGAGTTCATGCTCAAGACTTTTGATACTTCTCTCTCAAGGAGCCGAGTCTCTACATCTTCTTCAATGTTCTTTGAAGTTTCCTGGTACTTCTTAATGCAGATGACCTGATCTTTGCAGAGCTGGGCCACCAATGCATAGTCTTCCATTACCTTGGCCAGTTCCTTCTCTTGGTCAGCACAGGAAGCTTCCAACTGTTGTAACTTGATCTTTGACTCTTCGGGTGCTCCCTTTAGATGGCCTTGTTCAAACTTGGTGGCCTTTTGCGGTTTCCTTGTAAGCTTTTTTTGAAGTTCTGTTGTATTGTGGACCAGAGTCTCATTTTTCCTTTCAAGTCTGGCTATTTCTTCTTCCAGTTCTTGCAAAGTTCTCTCCCTTTCCATGGTGGTACTATTCTGCTTCTCCCACTCATCATCTTCTGTCAAGTCTTGGGGCTGAATGATCTCATTTTCCAGCCTCTGTATTTCTTCTTCTTTCTCATGGATTTTGAGAAGAAGTTCCTGATTTGCTTCATCTATTCTTTGCATATCTTGTTCAAGGTCTGTGTTCAAACTATCAATGTTCCTCTTTGGGCCAGTCTTAAGATTTCCACCTCCTCGGACTCGTGATCTAGCTGATCCTCCTCAGATTCTTCCATTGTAGATTCCCACTGTCTCGCCAATGGGTTTCAGCCCCGGGCAAGGTCGTTATGGATTCAGTGTGACTGTTGGGTCCGTGTAATCGATCTCCAAATAACCAGGAGACGCATGGATGCAAAAGCAAGAGCGTTTATTGGGTAGCCAGCATGCTGGGGTCTCACACGCGCAAGTGGAGACCCCTGTTTATATTTTTATATTTAAACTGGGTTTCTTTTAGGCAACATGTAGTAGGGTCTTGTTCCTCCCCCACCCTCCATCTAACAATCTCTGTTTTTCAATTGGGGTGTATAGACCATTTACAGTTCATGTGGTTAATAATATAGTTGGGATTAAAGGAAACATCATGCTATTTGTTTCCTATTTGTTCCTTATGTTCTTTGTTTCTCCTCCTCTCTTCTTCTGCCTTATTTTTAATTGGAATATATTTATGATTCCATTTCATCTACAATGTTGACTTCTTACCTGCAGCTCTTCATTGTATTATTTGGCTACTACATAAATTTAAGTATCTGCCTTAACTCGGGTACTAAATTAAACTGATAGTTCCTTTAGTACTTGGGTTTTGTGTGCATTGTACTCAGCACATTTTCAATATATAGTCACTGAATGAATGAGCACTTGTTTCTTCTCATCTTACATGAACATTTAGTGATTACTTGCTTTGGGTGCTCCAGACAGCTGAGCTAGAAGTTGGTTTCAACTGGAGTGGGCCCGTACCAGATAAAGAGATGGAATGCTGATTTCCAATATGGTAACTAAATCAAGGTGATTGTAAAAAAGAAGGACAGGTAGAGAAATCCACAAAATAGTTAAAAGAGAATTACTAAAGGCTTTATGTAGTATAACTGATAAGGAAGCCAGTGTGTAAAGAAATTAGAAAGACAAGTTTGAGGTCACAGATTTTTTAAAAATCCAATTCTGAGACTTAGAGAAACTCTTCATAATGGACTTGCCTTTCTAAATAGTTTTCATTTTGCATTTTCTGAAGCCCTATGGTTATTACAATAAGAATGTATCTCCTTCTTATTAAAGCTGCTTGTCTGGAAAATCAGACCCTTTGGAACTATCATTAGACATTATTTGCCAAACGGTGAGAGAGGACAGAACTCTATATCCTCTATTCAGTATTTTAACAAAATTCAGCCTCATGGGAGTACATGGGGTTCAAGTAATAGGATCCATTACTTTTAAGCTCCAGGTAGTTAAACTTACAAACTTTTCAAAATGTGAGAATACTTGCTGACTCCATGAAAAACTTTGAAGGCATCAAAAATGTCAAGGATTTCCTTTAACAACTAAGTTCATATCAGGAAATAAATTCAATACACTGAGAAATGAGTTTCCTTTTAGAAAGATGAAAGAGGGATTAGCCTTACCCAGTGTTGCTCCAGAGGGCAAAACCAAGACCAGGGTGGTAGTTTCCGAGGAGACAGACGTCAGCTCAGTATGAGGAAGGAGGTTCCAACAGAGCTGACCAACAACACAACAGTCCATCCCCTCTCACCATCCCACCCCAAGCCCCACACAAGGAAAGGAGCCAAGTGTCCAAGGAGAAAGGGCAAGAGCAGCTGTTCTGGACATTTTTAGGATCAAGAAGCCCTTTGAAAATCTGATGAAAGCTATGAATCTTTTTTTCTTGCCAGCTAAATTCCCAGAGCCATGCACACACATGCATATACACTAATACACAGCTCTACATTCAATTGCAAAACATCTTTGAATCCCGGGGTAAGAATGCACGGTGTACACAGATGTTTGAAGTGTGGAGTGAAACTAGGCTCTTTCCCACTCTGAGAGCCTGTGACTCTGTTTCTGTGCCCATCCTCACCACTATTTTAGGGGTCATCTAGGGTTTCCTGATGAAAATCCAACGGAAGTACTTTCCTTCTTTCTACTTTTTGACCCAATAATAATTTCTTTAATCTCCTATCCCTCTTTCCAGACATTACTGCTTCCTCTAAATTTACTGTTGCCTTCAGCAGAAACAGAATTTAATCCCTTAGCTTTCTGTGATGCCAGCAGACTCCAGTCTAAAGATTTTATATCTGAGATTACTCCTAATCTCCTCCTACATTGGCAAATCCTGCAGAAATACTGGTGATGTGGAAGGTGTCACTCACTCTAGTCTTCCTTTCTGCTGCAACCAGGGCAGTCCCCTGTGACAACATGCCTTGTGTGTTAGCCTGTGGACTTTGGAGTTATCCTACTTTTGGTTTTTCTTACTTTTGGCTTATCCTACTTTGTATTGTAGCTTTGCAAATAATTTATTAATTAATTTGGTGGAACTGCATCTATAAGAGCATGCCTCATGGTCAGCATCTGGAACCCCACTGATGGCACTGCTATGAATTCTATGTAGCAAGTACACTGTTTGATAGGCATTCACAGTGGTCGGCTACGTGGACTGTGGAGCCAGATGTCAGGGATCCAAACTGAATTCTCACCATGCCTTATAATCTTGGGCAAGTTACATAACTGCTTTGGTTGCCTTATCTGTTAAATGAGATGACATCTCCTCTCTCATAGAGTTATAATGACAAGGCTACATTAGTCAGTACATAACTCCTTAGAATGGTGCCCAGCACTTCCTGAGCACTCTGTAAGTATTTGTTTATTATCCATATGCTAAGTTAGGAACCTCCTTCTCCTCATTCACCTCCCTTCTAATGGACCCTAAGTCCCGGGAGCTCTTGCTCCCCAATAACTTTGACCCTACTCTCCTTCCATTGTCATTGCCCTAATCATCTCTTGCCAGTACCACAATGGAGTATTGTTAATTCTTGAGTCCATCCCCCGACCTCGCGATATCTTGGAGTAGGTAGGGCATAGTTCTCTGCCTCAGTGACTGTGGATTGAGCTATGTGGCTTGCTTAGTTCAATAGAAATTAGCAACCATAATCCAAGCAGAGGCTTTACATATGCCTATACCCCCTTTGGCTTGGTCTCTTGGGCTGAGATCCACCATGACAACATGCCCCCAAGCAGTCTCAGGTCCAGGGCCAAGGCATTGGTGAATGGAACAGACTTGGACCCACCTTGCAGCCTGGAGCCTGAAATCCAGCCTGCCTCAGCAGACTTGCAGGCAACCCACAGACCTAAGAGTGAGACACTTTTGGAGTGGTTTGTTATGTAGCATTAATGCAGCAATAGCTGATGATACAACTGTCTTCTGAGCTCATCTTCCTACCACCCATTTTTCCTTTTTCAGCCATCTTCATGCTGCGAGGCTTGTCTTTCTAAAACCCAAAACTAATAGTTCTCAAAATAAGTCTAAATTCCATAGTATTACATTAAAATCTCTCCTCAGTGAAGCCCAGACTACATTTCCATTCTTACTTCCTGCCATTTTAATTCATTGGCACCAGCCATCTGTGTCCTATGCAGTTCATAAATACGCCACACACTGTCATACTTACTCACTTGCTTGAGCAGTCTTTCTTCCTCTGGTCAACTATTAACTAGTCTTTATTCAGGTAGTTAAGTGGGACACAATGTCTAAGGGCCCAGATGCTGGAGTCATACCACCTGAGTTCAAATCCAGCTCAGCCACTCGCCAGGAGTGTGACCATGGGCAGGTTATCTGTGCTTGCCGTGCCTCTGGAAGAACTAAATGGGATAATGCATATGAAACACTCTGCACAGTTCCTGGCTCTACCCCAGCACTCAATACAGGTTAGACACTGTAAGATAGGGCTGACAAAGGGAGCCTCATGGAGGTGTGCTGTGATGGGGGAGGAGGAAGATGGCCCAGACGGTACAAAGATCTCAACGGCAGGAGTGCCAGGAGCAAAGGTGCAGAGACGGGATCAACAAGGACCACGTGGGACATGTCAGCAGATTTGCAGTCGGGGCACAGACAATCACTGGAGAAGTAATGACAAAATGAGATTGGTGAGATGCGAACTTTGATAGCAAATTGAAGTTTGTACTTAATACCAGTGTAAGTCAGAGGGATGAGAGCATTATCTCTGTTTCAGGAAGACAATTTTAAGAAGCAGTGTACAGGATGGATCAGACAGGAGAAAGACTGGAGAAAGAGAAAAGAATAAATATCATGTTCCTACTTTGTGTTGATTTAGCAATTCACAAACTTGATCTTGTTCCGTCCTCACTCAACTCTATGCTGTAGATATTATTAGCCCTACTGTAGAACTAACCGAGTTTGAAGAGGCTAGGGATATTGTCCATGGTTGTAGAACAAGGAACTGGTAAAGTTAAATATAATCCTGAAGTTGACTCTGAAGGAGAAGTGTGCCAGAGTTGACTCATACAGACTTACAAGAGCTGATAGTTAAAATTTCAGGAATTTTGTGAGCATTTGTTAAACACAGCCATTATTAAAAATTAAAATGATACAAACTTACAATTAGATAAATTATATTTAAGGCAAGGTAATATTCAAAAGTCATCGCTTCACAATTATTAACACTACCTTTTACTAGCATCTATGCTTTTAAAGTTATTAAGACTTCGTTTATCTGTAGGGTGGAAATAATATATATGGTGTTGTGCTCCCGTGTGTCTCTTCCCATCCCTACATACAGTAAGGTCACATTGATAGCTTGAAATTGGCCATGATGGGGGTATTTACAGTCCAGCAATTTGGCACACATTACAAGTCAGGGATTGATTTATCATTTTGTTGATTGTCTAGACTTAAGAAGGTGGTGGGAAAATGTGAATAATGTAGACTAAACTTAAAGGTGTGCTGTATCTGTAGCTGTTATATTTTTCGTAACAAAACCATTGAGGAAAGATTCTTTCAGTATTAGAAAACTGTCCTCTGATTCAACAAAGGCGTTTATTGGCAAAAGAGTCAAGTTCCAAGATATGTCTTTGCTGTTTCACTTTTTTCTTTTTCATTAATGTAGACAAAAATATCAACCAACATTCATGTCAGGACCATACTCGGTCAATTGCAACCACAGGTTGACTACAGATACAGAGTTGGGGAAAATAATCAACAAAAGCATTATTTGGGAAGCAACTGATTAATTGG